TTGAAAGATTTCTCCCCCACAATGGTAAATAGTCCCTGCTGCTGCACAATTTATACCTCTTTTTCAGAAAGTATCTCGGTGAATTTGGTCACTGGTATTTCCATGAATATTTTGAAAGATTTCTTCCCTACAATAGTGAATGTAATCATGTAGTGAATGTAAGTTCCTGCTGCATATTTTATACCTCTTTTCAGAAATTATCCCAGTGAATTTGGTCACTGGTGAAAGGATGGACACCTTAAATTCAGCAACAAAAGAGTATCGATCTCTCGAGAAAGCATTAACACATATGACACAGTACAGTCCATTTGGGTTCAAATGAGAATGATGAATGTTTAAATAACTCGAAATTGGGATAAGTGCACAAAACATAAATAAGACACATGGTCCTGAACCTCTGTACCCAACAGGATCTGAAATCTGACGTTTTATGATCGATCACGATCACACCACTTCATAGTCAGGACACGGCCGGCACTGTTCCACCGGCTCTTGTCACCCCTTGGTGTGAAGAGTGAACATAGAAAAATGTTACATGATAGTTTCTTTAACAACTTTTTCTGTGATTGATCATAAAACATGAGATTTCAGATCCTGTTGAGTGAGTGAGGTTTTAGGACCATGTGTCTTATTTATGTTTTGTGCACTTATCCCTATTTCAAGATATTTAATCATTCATCATTCTCATTTGTACCCAAACGGACTGTAGCTGAGAACATTAAGCATGCAACTAGCCAACATGCAGTTCCTGACATTGGGGCTGGTGACAAAACACCTGGACTGACTGATGGTTATGAATGGTAGCACTAATTCCTGATGTAGACATTGGAGGAACGAGCACACATTTACAGGTTATTCCACACCTAGGTGATATAAGTATTATACTTGTATTGGATAGTATACTCTACAAGAGCATATCCTGAACAAGATCAGCCTCCAATAAACCAACTAGTACCTCATGGATTTTTGCATTATACTTCTTGTAAAGATCATTCTGTTCACAAGCCTTAGTTGATACCTCATTTTTCTATAATGTGCTGGAAGAATATTAGCCTGAATTTGTCCATACATACTGCTAGTATGCTATCACTTTCATGTTTTGGGAGACCTCTGAAAAACTTTCCAAGTCACTTGACAGTATAGTGTTGTCTGGTCACTGTTTGTACTGGGCCTAATTTCTCAAAACAAACTTAAGTTCTACTCAAATTTCAAATTTAGTTTGACAATTTGAAACTGCAGAATTTCTAACTCAACTGTATTTCTAAAATAAAAAAGCCAAAACAATTCAAATAACCTTGTCTACTAAACTTAAACTGTCTACTAAGTTTGAGTAAAAGATTGATTTCAGTTTATTCTGGAAAATGCATTTTCCGACATTTTCTCAAATAGAGTAAAAACGTTAAGTCAAAACTCAGACTTAAGTTTGGTTTGAGAAATCAGGACCAGCTGGTCTTCTAATCAACAATCCACAGTGACTGAGGTACGTAGGTTGTGTAGCTACATGTGACAGCCGAGCAACTCATGAGTGCAGTAGTGCTAGGTGTTACCATTTAATGTCGATATGCTGCAATATACAACAGCGGAATTATCTAATAATCTCTATCTTTTAATTACAATGTAAGAATTCAAATACCTGTTGATTAATTTCTGTGAGTACCTATCATATCAACAAGTACTGTGTCAAGATTTAAATGCCAGGGAGACTTGCAGAATAGACTGATAGCAAGAACAGATTTTCGGAGATACATCAGAAAACTATTCACATGCATGGCTGGACAAGGAGAAGCATTAAGGTCTTCTAAATAGGCACTTTATTTGTTTGAACAGTTGTAGGTTTAAAACAAAGGATATCAATCAGAACAAATTAATTGAACAAAATATCTGAGTTCACATTTAAGCTTTCATATGTAAACATTTAAAGTTTCAATACTTTTAAAACAGATAAAATGCTTTTTTTCTTTAGGAAAAGACAATTTGTTGAGATGTTGAGAAATAAACATTTAAGACATGTATGTACAATTTCAAAGCTGTTATTTTCAACATTCAACTCTAAATCATCTGTTTCCCTGTTCTGTAAAATTATTGTTAGTACATTAACAACTTGATAAAATTTCAATTCATATAAATTGTAGAAAATATATCATGTAAAGTCGGCAAAACTATATACAACATTTCACTATGTACAGGACAGTTTGAGGTACAGGTGTAGACATGACGGTGTTAAATCAAACTGACACCATGAAGAATACAAACTTAACATAAATCTTTAAAACACTACATCAATACAGCCATACAAGAAATGTCACCGTTGCTTTAAGTGTCTTGTTACATTTGTAAGAATCTGTTTCAAAAGAATGACTACTTTTATGCATGCTTCTGTCTGTGCAGCCTGAGAATGAAACCTTGTATGCAAAACAAAAGTTTGTAAAAAACAAAGTATTTTGGATTTGAATGTGAAACATGACATCTCGGTAACCCATCTCATAATTCTGATTCAAACTGAAAACTAATACCATCTAGGTACCATGAAAATATAAATGCTACAATCCTATTGGCTGAGATATCAAACAACTATAACATTTAGCTATTCATCCATATAACAAAAATACAATAACACAAAAACAAACTCACATACACAGATAAATAAACAGGCATTTATGCCATCAACTACAAAAGGTCCGACACGGTTTTCTTATATTCACATTTTTTCTGAACTTATTTGACCTTTCCTTCCAACCATCACATATTTCCAGAATATTGTTTCGTAACGGTTATGAAGGCTTTGCAGTTATAACTTCATACAGAGAGGAGTATCTTAATCAAGATAGGAGATTAAAAAAGGAACATTTAGTGTTCCCTCTTGTAGGTACTGGTCAATATGAAGGTATTTCACTAATAGGAGTGATACATTGTCACCATGATAATCAGGTGTCTTTGCGCCTACTTTTATTTGGGGCACAATAGAGTACAATTCTTATTTAACTTAAACCTAACTGTAAAATACACCCCAGACTAAAGTCCTTTATTTGTAATGTATTTTACATGCATTCAGGGAATATAAACTTGTGCGAACAAATAATCTCCTTTTCACACAGTTATTAAGTTCTGTAAATCCATCTCCTAATTAGGCTCCAGGTAACAGTTATACCTTAACACATGTACAATTCTATATACACAACTCATGGACCCATTCACACAGAGTACAATGATAACCTGAAATGTATACATTTTGAACAATCTACATTTTGAAATACACTTTCAAAGTACAATATGTACAAATATCTCCCATTCCAAAGCAACGATATGCAGTTTCTGTGTTGTTTCGAGTATACGAGGTACTGACCTTAATGTCCTTTCATGAAACTGCCCTTTCCAGTTTAATGACATTGAAGGGTGTAATTGTCAGGTGACTACACCTAGATACCACAGGTAATGTTCATTATCCAGAAAGTCCTTGTCAAAATGAAAGAAAGTAATGTGAATTTCTGCAGCTGGTCACTGATAGGAATTAGGATTAGCCAGTCCTTACGCAGAGTTCCAGCATGTTAAGTCATGGAAAGTCAACCATGGATGTACCTGTTCAAAGACTACAGTTTCAAATGCACTTGCTTTCTAACAATGTTTCCACAAAATGCAATTTTTGTCCCTTTTTCCAAAGGGCACATGTCTTTGTAATGATTTTGGAGAGGGTCATTTTTTGCTGATACAACAACAACCCAAAAATGCCTTCAGCTGTGCTGAGGTCAAGAATACCTCACCAAGATTTACCAAGGGGAAACTTATTGGGTATTTGCATTACCATCCAACGACAAGAACATGCAGAACAATACAATTCACTCACTCACTCAACTGGAGAATATTTTAAACACACTCAAACACATATCAAGGACACACCAATACTGACTTTATGCAGACATATATGCACTCATATATGTACATCGAATATGAATATGTAATAAACATATTCCATACCTTTACAGGCTGTAAAACATACGGAACAATTTAATGGGAATATTTGTAAACATACTGTCCAGTTAGATATATGTTCTGTAAGGATGTGGTCTTTTTTCCTGGTGAAGCTTTACCATCATCATCCACAAACATCTAGACTGGTGAATATAGCATATATCTCACAGGGGGAATAACTGAGGGATAATGTCTTTAACATAATGAACGGACTCTTGAGATAGCCTTGACATTTTGGTTGATGACAACTGACTAGTTCACTGATAAAACTGATACGTCATTATTTATGCCAATATTATTATATGTGGGCAGTTTCAAAGTATGTCCTATTTCTACTTTTCATCTACAGTTATGCAATATTTGAGTCCTTTGAATATGCATTACAAAAATGGATGGAATATAACGTATGTGATGTAACATGAAGGGAGGTAACTGGTGAAGTCTAATGTCAAACTTGTGATATTCTGTTCAGAACAACTGAACCTTCTCAAGGATTATTATAAAAGGATCACAATTTTACCTGTGACATGTTCTTGGTAGTCAACATGCATGATTCTGATGTTAAGAGACAGTTTCTCTTTGATAACATTGACATGGTTAGACAACCTTGTGACCTGGAGTTTTTTGTGTATATACATCATGGGTCTGGATGGGGAGGTTTTCAATAATGCTTTAAACATTGCACTGTTTGTCTGATGAAGCAAGTTTCATTTCAATAATATTGAAACCAAGAAATGAGAGATTTCAAAATGAGAGTTTCATACTTTTGTTGTGAATGAGCATAAAAAAGCTTAATTTATATTTTGGTCACAGTTAAAAGTACAAAGATTGTCTTCACATGCAGCTAATATTATGTTATGATAACATAATTTTTGGTCAGAACCTAAACCTTGCATAAAATGTGAACATGAAATATAAACATACTTTAAAAGAAGACTGATGTATACCACTTCTGTGACGACAATAAATTGCGATGGGCAACAGAAGATTTCAGTAAACTTGTAATATGATACCAGTATCCAATCAATATCAACAGCTGTCACAAAGACTTGTGGAATTGTTGACGATACACATACGTTACTTAAATAATGGAGTAGCTTTTCATCGTTCAGTCATCATGCTTTCATATTTCCACTTGTTGAGTCAATGACAATGACAAAAAAATGACGTCTGCTTTTGTTTAGAAAACAATGTATACTCTCTCACAACATCATCAACATCAATGCTTCCGACACTGACTTGATACAGCAACTGTCAACACTTATTTTTACCCAAATGGCAATGTCTAACAGTCAGACAGCCTTCTGTTTTGGAGAAATCGCAGCTGAAATGCCTTCAAAAACTTGCATACGTTCAGCCACATGTCAGTTGACATGGTGAATAAATACACGACAATGAGAACAAATCACAACCATGCATGCACGAGATCGGAGGTTTCGGGCTGGTGTGAAGCTGGTCCTGTAGGTGGCGCTGATCTCATCTCATGTCCCCTGACAAGTCTTGCAGCAGCTCTTGCGGTAGTAGCGTCGGTCGCATGCCTTGTGTTGCCGGACTAGCGGACACCAGCTCTCTGTGTCCTCACACACTGGTTCTGTGGAGAGGAGTGTGATACGGAGGTAACAGCATGGTCGCTGGGTTACAGGGTCAAACTGGATATAATATATTGCATATTGTACTCAATAAAATGAAGAAAGGGCACAAAGAACTTTACCTGCATTGGACCTTAGAGTATAAATGTTCTAATGACTTAGGTACTAAATATAAACATAAACAAAAGACTTATCAGATGCTCCTGTTCTGATAATGTGTGGTACATTTTGTATTTGGACAGACCTTGTGAGATTTTACAAACTCAGTCACTTTCAGTTTAAAAGAGCATTACACATACATTGTTTCTTATTTCCCTTGTCCGTACAGCGCTAAACCTAGCACCCCCTGTTAAATTCTTGTGACTTCAAAAATATATGATTGTGACTAGCAAACAAACGGACAAATGCAAAGCCTTGGTGTTATATACCAATGTCATCTTTGCTTGATGATTTATATTGAAAAAGTCTGTGTGTTTAAATACACTCAGACGGCAATATTGTAACTGAGGCAGTCAAAGCAGTGGTTGATTCATGTAATCAGGGTACAATCAGCCAGGGTATGCATTCTGACCCTCATATTATCTTATGTATCAGCTCTTGTGATGTGCTAAGGATTGAGTAGTCTGTCGTACAGACCCTGAAGTAAATATATCCAAGAAAGCCCATGCAAGTCTAGAAAATGTGGCAAGTCTAGAAGAAAGTCTCAGGGCTCCTTTTCATTATATTTTTTTTTTTTACTATGAACTTTTTTTCAGTAAAATATGTTCATTTCAGAGACTAGTTGTTAGTCTAAGGATTGAGTTGTGTTGTGCATTTAAATGTGACCTGTTCCATCCTAATGTATTATGTGTATCACCAACATGTTATGGTCATTAAAATATTCGATACCCTTTTCCCAGTTATTCGTTTCTGGGTACTTGTTTATCTTACAACAAAATAATCATAATGTACTAGTATTCAATTACTGGTTGATAAGAAGACGCTGTTTTGTCATCGTCAGTATTATTTGGCATTTAATTGTTTTATTGCTTGATCCCACGACTTAGTCTGTCATACAGAAACAAATATACCCAATAGAGCCCATGGATGTCTAGAATATGTGGCAAGTCTAGATTACCAGTTTCTGAAAATGAAGAGTGAGTGAGTGAGTTAATATTTAACATCACATCGGCAATATCTCAGCCATATCGTGATGAGAACATATTTGACATTGAAATAGAATATATGTAACTGATAAAACCTGTCCACGAATGAAAATGAAGAATGTTTCTGGGCTCTTTGTTATCATATTTTATGAATATACTTTAGGAACCATTTTTCTGTAATATGTGTTCATTTCAGAGACAAGGTGTTAATCTACCCCTGACTAAAAAATCAGGAACGTTATAAAAAAACACACAGATGAATTTCATTTTGATTCTGTTTCAACCACTGACCAAAGGCTTGGAGAGAACAAAAACTGCTACTGTATGTATCAAAGCCATTCATATATACAGTGGATGTCATTTGGTTTGGAAGTATATTGTACACTGAAAACAAAAATGGAAACAATGTCACCCGACAGCTTGCAGTTTTTATATTAGCCATCAAACGATCCTATGCTGTATTTTCCTGTAATCATACAAGCTGGAACCAGAACTTACGATCTTTGGACGGACATATTCCAGCATTGCATGGCCTGGAGGTGTGGGGCTTGCTACGGGACTTGCATGCAAATGGATGTGGTCTTCTCTGGCTGTCAATGCACTTGATGCTCCGTACCTGGATGCCACGCCCACATGTGGCGGAACACTGCAATACATTGTCCTGGTGGTTATTCTCTGAGACAACTAGTCACAAGGACAAAGAGTTAATGGTTTATTTCTATACTTATCTACTCACAAAGCAGAAGGGTTTTTGAAATGTTATTGATGAGAATGTTAATGAGAAGGATGGAACCAAGTCTTAGCTATGACATTTACACTAGTGAGAGATAATTCAGCTACAACAGTCTAAGAAGCTTTGAATTAATTTGAATTAATTTGTATTCTGTACCATCGTTAAATGGACACAAAGCATTGGGTTGGACTGTGTGTAGAAGTGTACCCAAGTATGTGACGATGCAGGTGTGTACCAGGTGACTATTACAGGTGTGTGAGAGTGTGCAGGTGGGTACCAGCTGTCAAATACTAGTGTGCTTGTCAACCAATATAATACTCAAAAATAGTTAAAGAAAACCTATTCTTTCATATTCTACATGGATATATCTTGGATTTCAAAGTAAGAGCCTCTGGCTGCCCCATTAGGAAAAATGTCATGATAATGATCCAAAATTGGATTTTATATTATGTTATGTTTCATAAATTCTTCATTTAAGTTGAAGCTTTCACTGTCAATTTGGCTTCTGAATTAATATATTTAATCCATCATGCCATAAAATTAACATAAAAGAACAGTATTGTCTGTCATTTCTTTTGAGTAGTCTATACAGGTGTGCAAGTGCACCAGGTGACATGTACAGGTAGGTATGTGCAGGTAGGTGTGCTTGCGGTCAAATACATGTGTTGGGTATGCAAGTGGACCAGGTGAGATATGGGTGTGTGTGCACCAGGTAAGATTTGCAGGTGTATGCACTTAGTGATATGGAGGTGTGTGCACCAGGTGAGATATGCAGGTGTGTGCACAAGGCGAGATATGGATTTGTGTGCATCAGATGAGATATGCAGGTGTGTGCTTCCAGGTGAGATATGCAGGTGTTTGCACCAGGTGAGATATGCAGGTGTGTGCACCAGGTGAGACATTGAGTTATGTGCACCACGTGAGATATAGAGTTGTGTGCACCAGGTGAGATATCGAGGTGGTTGCACCAGGTGACAGACACATGCAGGTGCATCAGCAACAACTACAGTAATCTGATGATTTCAAATCCGATATTCTTGTCATTAGATGTCACAGGTAGAATAAAGTTCAGTAAATGGATAAGGGGATGTAACTGTGACAATATTAATATTATTGACAACTTGCACTGTACAGGTATTATTGTATATTCATAGTCTTCCAACTGTTGTGATATACACCAATTTAGATTTTACAGGAGCTTCTTTTACTCCAACACCCCTTATGTTCATGCCCATGTCTCAGGCAAAAATGAGTGAGAGAATGAGAGAGGTGAGGTGAGTTCTATTTGGCGTCAACAGTGTTCTAGCATACTATGGCAGCAAGAAATAGCCTTCACACACTGTCTCCAGGTCTGGATGACTGAAGCTGTGGTAATGCATGGTGAAGCACGAGTCTGTGAGAAGTTGTGAAAGGCCAGTGTGCATGGCCATTGTGCACGGCTTGTGTGTGAGGCCAGTGTGACTGAAGCTGCGTTAATGGATGGTGAAGCATGAGTCTGTATGCAGCATGATAAGGTGTGTAAGGCCAATGTGTCAGGCTGGTGTCAGATGTGTAAGGCTCGTGTGTGGGGGACATGTGTGTCAGGCTGGTGTGAGATACCTATGTGTGAGGCGTGTGTGTGGGGGACATGTGTGTCAGGCTGGTGTGAGGTACCTATGTGTGAGGCATGTGTGTGGGAGACATGTGTGTCAGGCTGGTGTGAGATACCTATGTGTGAGGTGTGTGTGGGGGAGACATGTGTGTCAGGCTGGTGTGAGATACCTATGTGTGAGGCTTGTGTGTGGGAGACGTGTGTCAGGCTGGTGTGAGATACCTGTGTGAGGCTTGTGTGTGGGAGATGTGTGTCAGGCTGGTGTGAGATACCTATGTGTGAGGCTTGTGTGTGTGTTAATCATGTGTGACATACCTATGTGTGAGACATGTGTGTCAGGCCGGTGTGTGGGGGACGTGTGTCAGGCTGGTGTGAGATACCTATGTGTGAGGCTTGTGTGTGCAAAACGTGTGTCAGGCTGGTGTGAGATACCTATGTGTGAGGCTTGTGTGTGAGACCTGTTTGCAAGACCTGTGTGTCAGGTCCGTGTGACTGAAGCTGTGTTAATGCATGATGAAGCATGAGTCTGCAGCAGCAGCAACTATCCCTGAAATGATGAGTGCAGTGTTACAGAAGCTGTGCGTGTGACGGGAAGCTACACTGTAACGGAGGAGGTGGTGCATAGGGGCCGGTGAAGCGAGATTGAGGAGGAGGGGGAAGATCGGCCATGTTCCAAGCAGACATTAATGGACGTTTACACTTACTACTGAACACTTTCACAACGTTAACACAATGTCAGAAGTTCAATAAAACAAATATCTTGCACATTATTACAGAAATGAATCTGCAGTAATATTACTTTTTTCCCTCAAGTAGCAATATTTTGATCTGCAAAATCATTTAATTTGAAATATTACAAAAACAGAAACTTGAGTATAGAAATGAGAATAGATTTTGTTCTGCTTGGCGCTGGGACCGACCAATACACACAAAACACAATACAGTGACGATACAACAAACCACTAGCGTGACCGTTGAGTCACCATGCACACCTTGGACCAGTGCAAAGCATGCCAATATGGCCTCTGCCACGCACGTAGCGCCTGTGGGCACTCAACGAGCCAACATGTCTCCTCCATTGCCACGTTAGGTTTGCGATTGTGTTTACACTCATTATCGGTGGCGGGCGCATGCTTGCCATGTGCATCGACTTGATTACACTTGAGGTATCTCGACCGCCTCCCTTGACCGCACGTTCGTGAACACTAAGGCAAGAAAGCATGGCGTTTTTCATTCAACCAGTTCATAACTACGTAAGCTTATTGTGGAAGCAAGCAGCTAAAGATTATATGTATATGATCATCTAACTATACTTCCTTCCTTTGTTACCACAGTAAGGAAGAAGTGTTGATGGGTTAACCAAACACCCATCTCCTTTCAACTCATTCTTACCCTTGTGACAAAAAATTACCTTTTTGCAAAATACAGTATACTCTGGTTATGGAGGATATTTAGTCAGAGATGAGCCTTAAAATCACTAAATAGTGAATCCATTTTAAAAGTGAACTAGTTAGGCCTCCTTTGAAATAGTCATGAAAAAATTATTGTTATTATCAAATCCTCCATAACTGTAAATTTAACTGTATACCTTGCATGAAGTCAGTTGTTCAAAGGTTGTAATCCCTAGATAATAAAGTCACCGGTTCTCTGGTAATGCTTTGAAGGCAAGTCGGGTGCTCAATACGTTTAGTGTGGAAAAGGTGCCCTTTAAGGGTGTAATGCCTTTTTTAAATTCCAAGCAGAAATAAAATGCTTTCATGGAGGTGGTTCACTGACTAGTGTGTTTTTTTCTATCCTATTGTTCCAAAAACATCAGAACTGCTGCTTGCTGGGTTTCAGTGATACACACAGCATGTCAGGAGATACTTTACATTATTTTGCAGGGAGGTAATGGCATGGCAAGCTAGAATGTCCACCCATAAAGATCCTGGTTAGAATTGGTCTTCAGCAATCCATGCTTGTCGTAAGAGGCGACTACCAGGACTGGTTGGTCAGGCTCATTGACTTGGTTGACACATGTCATTGTATCCCTACTGTGTAGATTAATACTTATGGTGTTGATCACTGGATTGTCTGGTCCAGACTTGATTATCTACAGACCACCGCCATAAAGCTGGAGTATTGCTGAGTGCAACGTTAAACAAGATTTAGATTGAAGCACCTAGTTAGTTTGAAATCATGAGCAAAAGTGTAAGTATACTGTACAACACCCAACAAACACAATTTCACAAGAATGTAAAAATCACATTAAAAAACAGAACACAATTTCATAAAACTGTCAAAAAAATTCAAAACAAAGAACCAAACATAACTGAAAGCACTTTGTTTCTGCAATATACTGTGCATATTGTGAGATAATGTTAGGCAAACATGCTATTCAAATACATGTAATATATAATACTTGCATTTTACATTTTTCTAACAGACTGTATAATTTGACAGGATCATAGAGCAATCCATGAATTACCTCAGTGGGCAATGTTATTTTAGACAAGCAGAAGCTGAAGCAGTTTATCATATAACTCTCTGTTTAATGCCCAGAGTTCTGTTTTTAAGCATTTATGACACATTAATCTTTTCCATCTCAGTATTCAGTATAAGTGATATCACCAGAAAAATTAAGAAAAATATTTAACTTTCACTAGATATTGTTTGAACTTACAGGTCCCCATGGCGACAGCAGCCATTCATATTTCTCTTTACAGAGTGGCATTTTGCATACACGGGCCACGTTGGGTTTCTTCAGCCCGGCACACTCCTCCTCCGACAGTACACGGAAACCTCGCCTTTCACGACGACGGCATATTATACGCCGATGTTGCATGCCTTTGCCACAAGTTGCCGAGCACTGCAATCAGAAAAAACTAGTACATCTATGTCTAGTGTTTGTTGACACATGATCATTGCTGTAACAGATTCTCAGTCTGAAAAAGACCCAACAATGAAATCTTAACCTGTTCTTCTGAATCTGCAATCACCACGAAATGCATTGCTACAGATATCCTCATCTCGTGATATCATGACCCATCTATACCTATATCATCTCATGATATCATGTCCCATCTATACCTATATCATCTCATGATATCATGACCCATCTATACCTCTATCATCTCATGATATCATGACCCATCTATACCTCTATCATCTCATGATATCATGGCCCATCTATACCTCTATCATCTCGTGATATCATGACCCATCTATACCTCTATCATCTCATGATATCATGACCCATCTATACCTCTATCATCTCATGATATCATGACCCATCTATACCTCTATCATCTCATGATATCATGACCCATCTATACCTCTATCATCTCGTGATATCATGGCCCATCTATACCTCTATCATCTCGTGATATCATGACCCATCTATACCTCTATCATCTCGTGATATCATGACCCATCTATACCTATATCATCTCATCATGCCCCTAGGGATGTAGTTATAACTACTTCGTCACCATGTCCCTCCTATAGCTTCATCATCTTAACATGCCCAATCCAAACGTTTACTGTGCCTCCTTCAATAACTACATTCACTGTGCCTCCTTCCATAGCTACTTCACACTGTGATTCCTACCATAGTTACATCAGCTCACTCTGCTCACTCACCGTGCCCCCAGCTATAGCTACATCAACTCACCATGCCCCCACCTATAGCTACGTCAACTCACTGTGCCCCCAGCTATAGCTACATCAACTCACCATGCCCCCAGCTATAGCTACATCAACTCACCGTGCCCCCAGCTATAGCTACATCAACTCACCATGCCCCCAGCTATAGCTACATCAACTCACTATGCCCCCAGCTATAGCTACATCAACTCTAGTGCCCCCACCTATAGCCATCAACTCAGCTATAGCTACATCAACTCTAGTGCCCCCAGCTATAGCTACATCAACTCACCATGCCCCAGCTATAGCTACATCAACTCTAGTGCCCCCACCTATAGCAACATCAACTCACCGTGCCCCCAGCTATAGCTACATCAACTCACCGTGCCCCCAGCTATAGCTACATCAACTCACCATGCCCCCAGCTATAGCTACATCAACTCACCGTGCCCCCAGCTATAGCTACATCAACTCACCATGCCCCCAGCTATAGCTACATCAACTCACCGTGCCCCCAGCTATAGCTACATCAACTCACTGTGCCCCCAGCTATAGCTACATCAACTCACCATGCCCCCAGCTATAGCTACATCAACTCACTGTGCCCCCAGCAATAGTCACTAATGACTGACTCACCTTGCCCCACTTGCCCACATGCCACTTGGACGGACACTGTTGAACATTACAACGTCTCTTTCTTGCAGGTTTGGGAAGGTGTTTACAGAATCTCCGCTTGAGGCGACGATCTTTGTGCGAGGACAGTTTCTGGCGACATGTTATCTTCCGTATCTGTTTCCCACTACCACATGCCTTGGTGCAAGACTGCCACTCCTCCGCTGACCACCTGACATATTGTAACTCAGCATTCACACGGGTACATCATGTCAAACAAGCATCATCATCTAGACATAGGCTGGGAATTTGGCATCATGGAGCAGAATCCCTTAAAGAGGAGTACATGTAACAGGTGATTAACGGGATTGGGTGGTCAGGCTCGCTGACTTTGTTGACACATGCCATGGGTTCCCAATTGCGCAGATCGATGCTCATGCTGTTGATCACTGGATTGTCTGGTCCAAACTCGATTATTTACAGACCGCCGCCATATAGCTGAAATATTGCTTAGTGTGGCGTAAAACTAAACTCACTCACTGTAAAGTCCTATCCATGAAACTGTAAATTGTTCTGACCTTCAGTGACTCATCTAAACATAATATGAATACCAATGAATTGGTTAAAACAGAATTACACCTCCACTAATGAACAATTAGTGACTACTTATTCACTGAACCAAGATAGTGAAAAATCTTCAGAAGGCCGCAGTCAGTGTGTTCTCAACACTAAGAAGTCGCCAGTCAATATGTCCAACCCTAAGAAGGCCCCATTCAATAGGTTACCTGCCCTGCACTAACCTGGGAGGACAAGGCTGAGCATTACATGGGAAGAGGCCAGTCTTGGGTTTGCGGCGAGCATCACAGTACTTGTTGTCCACCACCAACCGGAGATCACGCCGACATGATGCAGTGACATTCTTCTTCCCTGAAGATTACAAGGATGAATAGTTTCATCTTTGATTATGTATTTCTCAAACAAAAATAACTAATATCCAGCTATTAATTCAAGCCAAGTTAAGGTCAAACAGATCCTGCTGTCAAGGCTTTTCCTACCTTTAATGCAATCAAGAGTCAGTGAGTGAGTGAGTCTAGTTCAACATTATTGAATGACATTTTGAGGAAATTAATTAACAAGATTACAATTAATATAAACGTTATTGAATGACATCTTGAGGAAATTAATTAACAAGATTACAAACAAAAGTCCGGATATGCAATGAACATGTTTTATTAAGAGAGAGTGCAACAACTGGATTAATTTGGTAATTCAAAATGGATTTGTTGAAATACTATTCTGATTGATCAAGACAAGATGTACGTACAATGTAATGATGTAGGTCCTAATTCCAGCTACTGGACATACCATTTTGATTCAGATTTTAAGGTTCAAGTTGGGACCTTGGCCTATCTATGAGATCAGCTTTTGTAAAGTCATATACAGATTCCAAATACATGGACTAATGAAAACACATCCCATCCCACCATGACCTCACCCCCTCAACTCAAAGGACCAATACCTCCCATCCAATCCCCACCCCTCCAAGAGTTCTGACAAGCTCACCTCCAGCACACGGCTCTGTGCAGGGCGACACGGATACACTCCAAGTGTACATCACTTTGTGCTGAATGGGTCGTGGTGCTCTTGTTGTGGTGGTGGTGGTGGTGGAGGTTGTTGGTGCAGGGGTCAGCCGCAGCTCTGCTGGAGTTTTGGGAATGGTGTATTCATACACAATACCAGGGTTGCGGTCTTGCACCAACATCTACAAGGTAACAAACATAACATCATAACACAATCATCTTCCCAATAGTATCTTCAAAGCAGTTCAAATCCAACTCACTCACTCTGAGGTGAGGTGAAATTGGGTTTAACGTCGTGCTTGAGAATATTTCACTCATATGACGATGTGCATGCATGTGTATGTGTGTGTGCGGCTGCTTGTACTAGCCCAGACTGAAGCTGGTTTTATAGTGCTAGCCCACTGAGATACCATGCCGCAGTGAAGCATGAATACCCCACTCAGACACATTATACTGACTCCGAGCCGACCAGTCCTTGTTGTACCCATTAATGCCGAGCGCCAGGCAGGGACCAACAAGTACCATATTTTAATGTCTTTTGGTATGACACGGTCGGGGATCGAACCCGCGACCTTCCGCTCTCAGGGCGGACGTTCTAACCGCTACACCACGGAGGCGGTCCACTCACTCTGAATACCACACTTATCCCCCAGCTCACGACATGTTTTTTATCTGAGCAACTGACAGGACACTTGGCAGGCATTTTGGCCACCAAATCCTCACATGGTATTGTGAAACTACTTTAACTCCTAACACAAAGAACTGATAAACCTGGCTATGAATGTTCAAAATATCTGATTTCATTGTGAACATTGTCAAGATTCAGACTAGGATATACTCAAACACAAATACTCTCTTCAGAAATAAGCTACTTTTCATGAAGAATTATTCTCCCTCGTTTGATGTATTAGTTCAAAAGTTTGATTTCTGATAAATAGAAGTTCCTTCCGTTCGATGAAGGGGAAAAACATTATCCAACAGAATCAAACTATCAGAGCTCTGAGTGTAAGTCAAAAATATTTCCAATCATTTTCATTCCAATCAATCAAACACCATCTGCATTCTTGGATAAATGATTTGAGTGGAAAGTCAGTCAACCATTGATCTTCCTCTTACTAAAACAATTAGCTGCATCACAAGGTCTATACATCATTTTGCTATTGGATCTCTTCACAAATGGTATTGGGAGTGTGACTACCTCCAGGACGAGATCCTCTCCCAGAGGCCCGTCTGACTCCAGTGTTTCAGGGTTGCTGTATGGCCGCTTGTAGGTAAAGTCAGCCCCTCCAAGTTTGTAGATCCCAGGCCAAGCCACAGCTCGGTTGCCATTGAGGTAGTACCTGCCGTAGATGTTACGCATGGCTAGGAAGTTGGAAGAGATTTCCTTTTCTCGTATTCGGATATACCTTGCAGACTTGGGTAACACAGCAATTGGGAAATAAGCTGCAAGAAATAGAACAAATTCAGAATGACGTGAGTGAGTGAGTGAGTTGGTGGGTGGGTGAGTGAGTGAGTGAGTGAGTGAGTGAGTTGGTGGGTGAGTGAGTGAGTCTACAGTGGTGAAGGGAGCAAGTGAAATGCAGGAGTGTAGGGAGCAAGTTAAGCTGTAGGTTCTTATCCTACCATCATAAAGGTTTGTAGGGTTGAGTGAGTGAGTGAGTGAGTGAGTGAGTGAGTGAGTTGTTGGGTGGGTGGGTGAGTGAGTGAGTGTGTCTACCACTTTGGTGAAATGCAGTTCAAAAACATACTATACACTTCATTAATAGACAACAAGAAACTATCATAAAACGTTTAAACCCCATTAAGAATAGATTACAGTCAAATAATTATTTGACCTCTAAACAGTGAGCAGCATTTAACATTATAGCTGTTATCACTAACTAATTCCCATCACAAACAAAAGACTTCAAGAACAGGTGTTTCTGGAGTGTCTTGTGTAGCTAACATGATCGGAAGGTGATACATTGTTGATAAGGCCACTTACTGTTTAATCTGGGCTGCTGTGTGTATTGTCCTTGGATCAGTTTACAGGTGGAGTTATCTCCCTCGCACACACCACAGATGTCATTCCGGGCAGCCGAGCCGATGACCAGGTCACATCCCACTCTCTGCAACAGACACCAGATAGTGTTATTGCAACAAACAGTGTGACTTTCCGCAGCCATCATCTAGCCATGATACCATCCCAGTATCCTAGTACAGCTGTAAGATATGTCAGGATCATCATATCTTAGCAGAGTTGTCGGACATGACAGATCTCACACATCTTAGCGGAGTTATTAAATATGACAGGTTCACCATACCACAGCAGAGGTATCATACAAGGCAGGATCCGCATATCTTAGCAGAGATGTCAGACAAAATGGGATCAGCACATATCTCTTAGCAGAGATGTCAGACAAAATGGGAGGATCAGCAGAGTTGTCATTATCTTAGCAGAGAGAGTTGTCAGACAAAATGGGATCAGCAGAGTTGTCAGTATCTTTAGCAGAGATGTCAGACAAAATAGGATCAGCACGTTTCTTAGCAGAGATGTCAGACAAAATAGGATCAGCAAAATGGTTAGCATCTTAGCAGAGTTGTCAGACAAAATGGGATCAGCACAGAGATGTCATCTTAGCAGAGTTGTCAAAATAACATCAGCATTACAAAATAACATCAGCAAATATCTTAGCAGAGATGTCAGACATGACAGGATCCCCATATGCAAGTCGTCAAGAATGATTTAGCCATCCTCTAAACCCTAAACCTTAACAAATATAGAGTTCCTAGTGAGTGAGAATGGTGCCTTCAGAAATAGTCCAGAAATATTGTATTGGGGACTCCAGGAACAAGTTCCACATAATATGATATATTAAACCAACCCTGGTCTTGAGTAATAGGACCAAAAGCCTTGACTATACTACTAACCAATGAGTATTTCAAACATGATCCTACATTTTAAGATTAAATCAAAACACTAATAAAGGTTATAAAAGGCCAACTTCTGAAAAGTTACTAAACGATGAATCAAAACATGAGATTATTTCCACATGGCACTGTGTAATTGTACAAAGCAGCTCATTCAATATGTCTGCCCTAGTGTCCATGCTTAAAATATCTGAGCATCACCAATGCAGAATTGCTTTAAATGATTTTATAGGAATTGTCAAATATATGAAATCTTGGATGGATTCCAAAGTGCAACATGATGACACATAGGGAAGTGAAATAGTCTATTCCTACCTTGCAAGCACCTGTCACGCAGATGTTGTCATGGTTACAAGAGGTACCATCAATAGCTAGATGCTTGACTGTGAACACAAAGTTTTGGGTCTCGGCCACACAATACAGCTTACACGGGTCCTGTGCTGCAAGTAACAAACCATATAACATTATTTCAACAGGGTCAAATAATATTTGGGGGTGGCCTGAGCTTTAACACTGTGTGAATAAATGAATTGTATCATCACATGTGGAGATGAGTGAGTAAATATGGTTTATGCAACTTTTAACCATATCCCAAGAATATCACAGTGAAGAACACCAGAAATGGGTTTCACACATGAGTGAGTGAGTGAGTTTAGTTTTACACTTCACTCAGCAATATTCCAAGCTATATGGTGGCGTTCTGTAAATAATCGAGTCTGTACCAGACAATCCAGTGATCAACAGCATGAGCATCGATCTACGCAATTGGGAACCGATGACCACCCGATCCTATTAGTTGCCTCTTATGACAACCGTGGGATACTGAATATCAATTCTAACCCGGATCTTCAAGGGTAGTTTCACACATTACACCTAAGTGGGTAATCAAACCCAGGTCTTGGGCATGATGATCAAATGCATTAACCACTAGGCCACCCCACCTCTCCAAGTGTTGTGATGGGGTTTAAAATGTTTTGCTCATGATTATTGCTCTTGTATTATTACACACAAGCACGTGTGTGGGGCTGCTTATATTAATCCAGACTATTTTTATCTTTTTAATAGTTAAACTTCATATGAATAATACAAAGATGGTTAAAAAAAGCTATCGTGCAATTCAAGGAAAACAAGAAATAAGGATGAGTACTCAAGATTATGGTTGGTTGGGAACCAGGAAGTGCTCATATAACTCTGTTACATGTAAGGAACCTACCATTATACAGCTTCTTGTATGGCTTCCACTGCAGGTACCAGCCCTTGAATGGCTTCTCATTGTACGTGGAGCACTGGACTTCAAGGAAGTCATCATCCCCATAGGGGCAGGCCTGGGGACATACACACAGCTCTGTTAGACTCCATACAACACACTACTTACACACAGATACTGATTCTTGTATTACAATATGAGTGATCAGTTGGTGATAGGCATTAGCTTTAGTATTGTATATGTAATGATGTCACCTTTGCATTACAGATGACGGTCTCCTGTGTGAGTCCTTGGCAAGGCTTCCCTCCGTACTGGGGTCTGCAACAACAATGTAATACATTGTGGGATACTGGGTGACACAGTCATATATCACACAGTCATACACCAGTCATATATCACAGTCATACACCAGTCATATATCACACACTGTCATACACTAGTCACATATGATGCACAGATATACACCAGTCATATATCACACAGTCATACACCAGTCATATATCACACACTGTCATACACTAGTCACATACGATGCACAGTTATACACCAGTCATATATCACAGTCATACACCAGTCATATATCACACACTGTCATACACTAGTCACATATGATGCACAGATATACACCAGTCATATATCACACAGTCATACACCAGTCATATATCACAGTCATACACCAGTCATATATCACACAGTCATACACCAGTCACAGAATACACACTGTCATATGCCAGTCATTTATCACACATTCATATGTCAGTCATATATCACACAGTCATACACCAGTCACATATTACACACTGTCATACACCAGTCTTTTATCACACACTGTCATACACCAGTCATTTATCACAGTCATACGTCAGTCATTTATCACACACTGTCATACACCAGTCATTTATCACACACAGTCATACACATCATTTATCACAGTCATACATGTCATTTATCACACACTGTCATACACCAGTCATTTATCACACTGTCATACACCAGTCATTGATCACACACTGTCATACACCAGTAATTTATCACACACTGTCATACACCAGTCATTTATCACACACAGTCATACACGCCATTTATCACACACAGTCATACACCAGTCCTATATAACACACTGTTGGATATAGCACATCTGTGCACATACCAAATTTATCAATTGCCATGAATGAAATGTGTTTGATATTCAGAATTACTTTTAGGGTAACATGAAATGCAAGACTGACCTGAATTGCCTCTTACCGAAATCCCAACATAGACAGTAAACAAGAGACACCAATTTGAGCAATATTCTAGCCACATCACCTTAAGGGGAGGTGGCCACCCATATGGCCTTAGCACATTGTAGGTATTACATGCAGGTTTTGAGGATGACAAGGGCATGCTTCAACCCCTGGGAACCCCACAGTGCCAACCATCGCTGAGCATCCAAACACCTACTTGTCTTCCATACATAATCCTGCTTTTATGAGATGATCACAAGACACTTTAGAGTAATCAAATAGTGGGCCAGGCTCCCATCAATCAGAACTGTGTACACCAAGCAATCTGTTACACAACAATCATACTAAATCTATTATCTACCCTATCTGTGCTTCCTCACAACAGAGAAAGTGAGTCTTAGCTTGGATTAAGACAGCCGCCACGCTTCACATGATTAGCAATAATAAAACATTTATGGCAATAATTCCTGTCAGCCCTTGAGTCTCACCTTTGCCCCCAATAAGGGGGCACTGTCCCTGTTCTGAACACACCTCCAGGAACCGGTCCTCCTACAGGAGGTACACAAGCCTTAATCCCACTGTATAAGAATGACAGGCCTAATTCTGAAAGCGGCCCCTAGACCCCACAAATACAACTCAAGCAGAGAGCATTCACTGTATAATCAGAAAATTATAAAGTATAAAGTTTTGAAGTTGTTTTTCTGGTGTAAGAAATCAAAGAAGAAAAGTAGCCCTCCCCTTCCATGGCTGCCCTCAGGGCTATACAGTTCTTCCACTGTAGGTAACAATAGTTCTAGTGGGCACCTGCACAGAAAATAACAATGATTAGCTGTGTCCCTAATCCTAATTGAGCCTTTGAGCACACAAGTCTGAAAGGTTTAGTGAACCATTACTCACAATGTATGTTTGTAATAGTCTTCAGGTTGACGACAAGACAATTATTCTCTTTACCGATGTGCCTGTTGCATTCAACAATGAAGCAGTGTTTAATGTTGGCGGCATTGCCACTAGTACAATGTTGACTTAAGCTGTAAATGATGCTTATCCAGGAAGGACAACAGCTTCAGACGTAGGGCATTAGTAATAATATCAGCGCATCTTACACTACACACAACAATCAATTATAGGGACGCCTCTACTTAGCCTCTTGCTCCACTGTGTGAAAATCTTTGTCACTAAACCAATAAAACATCTCACAGAAGACAATTTTATTAGTCCCAAGCACACAGACAGACATCTCTAATGTTATGGGATAAATTTTTGTTATCTAATTCCAAAGACTCTTTTCCATTATAGAGTTTCAACAAAGATAAAAATGTGTTGGATGTGGCCTTGCAAACTGTACAAAACAGGAAACGAACAACAATGTCTTTGTTCGGTTACCTCTTTCAGACATTTGATAACAGATACACTCAGTGACAGACACAATATATTAAAGGATTTCCAATGGATGTGGGATGAGGTGGACTGTGCCAAGAGATACTTTGATAAAAAATAACTTTATTTCAGAGGATTATTCTGGCTGAATGCACTGTACCTCAATTGAAACAATATCAGTCTCTTTATCAGTAAGGTTGCCTGACTTTTAAGTGCAATTTCTCATGGTGTTGGTTGTGTTCTGATGACATGCTCTCAGGGTAAGATGACATACAAACGGGTCTGACTATCTGTCACCTCGTATCACATAACCTCACTTTACCCAATGTTACTGTCACACTATTCCACCTCCGGTCACACTATTCCACCTCAAGTTATTCCACTTCAGGTTACACTATTCCATCTCACCTCAGTTATTCCACCTCATGCCACACTATTCCATCTCACCTCAGTTTATTCCACCTCATGTCACACTATTCCACCTCATGTCACACTATTCCACCTCATGTCACACTATTCCACCTCACCTCAGTTTCTTCCACCTTTTGTCACCATATTCAAACACACGTCTGGTTATTTTATTTCACCTCAAACAAGGACCTGATCCAAGGAACCATCACTTAACTAAATCCAGCATTTAATTTAAAGATATCTGCTCTTTAGTATTTTGGAATTTTTCACAGATCTCTTTCCCATGCATGTTATGATTTGTTTTTCATCACATCTCAGCTTTCAAGCCATATATATTGTTATTGTTCTTTTAATCACAAGCAATCTTAAGGAAAACCTTTATAATTAAGCAATCAGGTATAATTTAACACAAAATATTATTTGTTATTTCTATTTTTTTGTGACTTGTGGTGCACACAGCATAATACTTAAAACATACTCACAGGGGATTGTTACACTCCCGGCTCCGTGACTTGACTCCCTTGCCGCAGGTCCGAGAACACTCGGTCCACTTGGTCCAAACAGACCAGTTTCCGTTCACTGGCTTTGGTCCATGGCGTCCATATTTCACACATTTACCTTGGCGACACCACTGAAAGAACAAGGTGATGAGTTAACTCTGCGATACAGGAGAAAATGTTAAGAATTGGAAACTATTTGAATCTGATTGGTAAATCAGTCGTATCAAATCACAATAATGATGGTTGAAACATCCACATGATTGCAGAAGCTAATATTTACATAAAATATCTTTTTCAGTCATGCTGTTAGGCATTTTGTACCATTATGGGTTACAAAATCCAGATTCATACATAATTCAAAACATGAGTGCCAATACATTTTAGAACAAAAACATGATACCAGTTGAGAAGGGTAAACGGTATTTCAAGTTTAAGGGATAACAGAAAGATTGAAATGTAGCACCTTTTCGATATCAATTACAAGGTCATAAATTTGTGTCAGAGTGAGGAGAGTGACAATACAGTGGTGATGTGTGGATTGAGCTATACCTTAAAAAATTGCTTTATTTTCTTTCATCATGTCTGCTTGAACTTGTTTTTTGGAGTACAAGCGCGTCCGGTAATTCCGCGCGTCCGGTAATTCTGCACAATAGCGTACTTCCGTATAGAGGTAAACATCGTCTGCTACCACATTTACGTTTGAAATCGGGACCTTTCTACAAGGGACTGGCTTTTAATCACTAAAGGTAAGTAAATAACAGTAATTGACAGATACATTGACAGTTTTACGAAAATTCGTTTTCTTCAGACTTTTAAACCTTTTTCTTCATTCTTCATAATTGGATTTAATATGAAACACTCTTCTTTACACTGATGAAGTGATTTTTTAAAATAATCTGGCCCTAATATGCTTCCATGCTTCGGATCTCCAGCTGGATGTTATGCGCATCAGTTGCTGCGCAGAATTACCGGACAGCAAGCGATGTCGTCAGAACGCTGGTAAGGTCAACCGTATGGCATAATGCAACGTTAGAATCTTATAGTCATCAGGAAAAACTTATATTTCTAGGTAAATATGATGCATACCAGCATGTTTAGTCACGTAAACAACCAAAAATAAGAGACGTTAGTTGCCGTGTTGCGATCGATGTGCTTAGGTGCGCGGAACTACCGCTATTGTATCAGTGTATCGAACTTTTAATGCCAGAAAAATATAATCATATAACCAAACAACACAAAAAGTGTAAAACTTTGCCTAAAGGCTGAAGATTTGGTTTCAAGTTTAACTTTATTAAATGGTTAGAATGGTTTGCGTGTTTGTTTGTTGTTTAACAGTGCACTCAGCAATATTCCAGCTATATGGAAGCAGTCTGTAAATAATTGTGTCTGGACCAGACAATCCAGTGATCTACATCATGAGCATCATCTACCCATTTGGGATACAATGACATGTCAACCACCAAGACAGCGAGCCTGACCACCTGATCCTGTGAGTTGCCTCTTACAACAAGCATGGGTTGCTGAAGAGTGAGTGAGTGAGTTTGGTTTTACGTCGCTTTTAGCAATATTCCAGCAATTTCACGGCGGGGAGACACCAGAAATGGGCTTCACACATTGTACCGATGTGGGGAATCGAACTCGGGTCTTCAGCATGACGAGCCTATGCTTTAACCACTAGACTACCCCACCGCCCCTGTTGCTGAAGACCAATATTAACCCGGGTCTGGAATCATTGCTCATAACATCAACCACTAGTCTGCCTGTCTGTGACTCAATCACATACATGCCCTCACAACAGCTGATATAGTGCTGCCTGAACTGAGACCATTCACTCACTTGCTGAAATCACCTTCTTTATAGCGGATTGTCATTTATTCAAGGAAGCAGTAAATTTAACATTTGTTAAAAAGTGTCTTTTTTCGAATCAGCAACAAATAAATGTCACTGAACAATAATCCGTCCTATCCGGAGTTGCTTGTGAGTCAACAAGCACCTGTTTGTCAATCCCTATCAATCAACCAGCACTCTTCAGCTAGGTATGATAAACATATCCAGAGGGCTGACCGATGGAGTCTGTACACGGTAACACTTACAAATGATTTGTTGAAAGAATTTCAAGAATTCCTGTTCATGTCAAGAGTTTAAACGAGGCACGCCCCAGTATAAGTTTGTAACTACTGGTGCAATGCTTAAAAGTTATCAAATGTTGTAGGAAGACGTCACCTTGCAGCACCAACCATCACGGAGGTGATCAGTGCACAGACACAATCAGATCCCTTTACTATAAGCTACACTGACCTACTCCCAAGGAAATATGCCCGAGTTTTTCCAATTGTCACTACATGCACGAAAATAAACATCAACCTGCTCACAAATCTCCTGACATTTTCCTTGGAAAAATAAGATGGTGTTCTTCAGCTCTCATTCAGACCGAAGCTTAGATAATACGTTTGAATTAGCCTAGGGCAGGATATGATATTCTAATTTTGTTTTTATGTAAGAAAATGTAAATCAAACAACTGTCATCAATTTAACAGGTTTGTTTTTTTCAGACTTTGTTTAAACATCACAGAACAAACTATAGATCTAATTACAGTTCGAGTTTGTGTCTGGTAATTCAAGTTTTTGTTATCGGATGTCATCTTTTATGCTGCAGTTGAAGAAATATTTGTTCATGAAGAGATACACATCCTGACTGCAACACTAGGCTGCCAAATACATCTTTTTACGCATGTAACATAGATGTGACACTTCCAGATTTCCTCATCAACCCAGACAGGGAGTGATAGCTGTGTAAGACTAGCAAATGTGAAATTCTTTGATTACTGAGTGATATGTTCCCACTGAGTGGACCTTAAAAACTGCCTTGATAATTACATGTCAGCGAGATATCTCAACAATCGCTAAATGTATTTACATTTACACTGATTTTGGAATGACAAAATCTAGGAGATGCAACTCCTGTTGAACGGGGAAACACATAAACCTGGGTGTAATAACCCTGTATCTGCAGCTCTGCCCCCATGTCACCACCTTGTGCCTACTACTCTCCCCCCATGTGACCAAGCTATTCCTACTATTCTCTCCAATGTGACCAAGCTGTGCCTACTACTCTCACACAATGTGACCAAGTTGTGCCTACTACTCTCCCCAATGTGACCAAGCTATGCCTACTACTCTCCCACAATGTGAACAAGCTGTGCCTATTACTGTCCCTAATGTGACCAAGCTATGCCTACTACTCTCCCACATTATGACCAAGTTATGCCTACTACTCTCCCACAATGTGACCAAGCTGTGCCTACTACTGTCCCTAATGTCACATAGCTGTGCCGACTACTCTCCCCCAATGTGACCAAGTTGTGCCTACTACTCTCCCAGTGTGACCAAGCTGTGTCTACTACTTTCCCTCCATGTGACCAAGATGTGCCTACTAATTTCTCCTAGTGTAACCAAGCTGTGCCTACTACTTTCCCCCAATGTCACCAAGTTGTGCCTACTACTCTCCCTCCATGTGACCAAGCTGTGCCTACAAATCTCCCCTAATGTAACCAAGCTGTGCCTACTACTTTCCCCAAATGTCACCAAGTTGTGCCTACTACTCTCCCCCAATGTGACCAAGTTGTGCCTACTACTCTCCCTCCATGTGACCAAGCTGTGCCTACAAATCTCCCCTAATGTAACCAAGCTGTGCCTACTACTTTCCCCAAATGTCACCAAGTTGTGCCTACTACTCTCCCCCAATGTGACCAAGTTGTGCCTACCTACCATACCCGCACCACAAGAGGTTCCTTCTGCTGCCGGCAGGAACTTGGTTTCACATCGCTTGTTGCCCCGGTAACACCATAACGCCTTACACGTATCCTGAAGAAAAAGCACAATATTTTAATACAGGGATGAGAATGGGTATGCGTGAAAAAAGAGCAAAATGAGCCGAGGAAAAGACGACTCAGATGAATGACCCCAGTGTGATCAAATCACCAAAATCATGAATTCATTGCAGTAATTCATTGTAATATCTGTATCTGCTTGTCAGTTAACTAAATGAATCAAACATATTACAAGCATCATTCAGGTGAGGTGAGGTGAAATTGGGTTTAACATTGTGCTTGAGAATATTTCGCTCATATGATGACGTGCATGCGTGTGTATGTGTATGTGCGGCTGCTTGTACTAGCCCAGACTTAAGCTGGTTTTATAGTGCTAGCCCACTGAGATACCATGCTGCAGTGAAGCATGAATACCCCACTCAGACACATTATACTGACTCCGAGCCGACCAGTCCTTGTTGTACCCATTAATGCCGAGCGCCAAGGCAGGGACCAACAAGTACCATATTTTAACATCTTTTGGTATGACGCGGTCGGGGATCGAACCCGCGACCTTCCGCTCTCTGGGCGGACGCTCTAACCACTACACCACGGAGGCGATCAGCATCATTCAGACAGGACACAGACAGCACTATGAGATAAGTCTCTCACCTTCCCAAAGTCATATGTACAAAGCTTGGCCTTGCTTCCAAACTGCCACTTGCACTGGACGTCAGCATTGTACAGCTCACCAGGCAGCTTGGTGGGGAACTTCAGCTCAGCCACATGCTTGGGTTTGTCCTCCAGGCAGTCGGCTTGAGGGGTGCTGGGGAATAACGCAGAGTGAGTGAGGTGGGTATAACACCGCTTTGAACACTATTCCAGTTATAACAGGTGTCAGTTTGAATGTTGTCGGGGAATAATGCAGTATGAGTGAGTGAGTGAGATATGTTCCAGGCTGCTTTGATGAGTGCTGACTCCTTTAATCTTCAAACAGTCAGCAAATAAGGGATTCATCTTACATCCATACTGGTAAGCGAACAGCTATCGCCATATTTTAGCAGTATTTACAAAATTACTCGTTCGTTAAATGAATGAAACATAATTTAATTATGATACTTAATTAGGTATTCACCGATGTGTCCAGCCCGTTCACTGCCGCTGATCATGTTTTATATAACGCCGAGGAAGGGAATCAATGCGAATCATGGCAGTATAAAGGGATGTTTTTTCACAACTAATTGTAACAGTTATCGCCATTCAGAATTTCTCATGCCATTCGTGAAATGATATATATTTATATCATACAGTAACCTAGAATAATTGATTGTGTGACTTTTTGAGTGTTTCTTTTACAGTAAATTGATAGGGAATGAATCAGTTAATGACTTGTGAACTTGAACTTGCTATTATATAGGTTGTGGGACTAAGTTAAAATTATTTTATAGGGTTCATAACTTAATCTTATTTTTCTCGATGTTACTTGCCGTGAAGAATTTTCTCTTGCTGTCCTTTATTGTTGTCAAATACCGTGGGGAAAAATACCGGAATTGTAATTGACCGGAACTGCGCATGTGTGATACAGATGTATTGGCGAAAACTGTTACGCGGCAATAACTGTTTGCTAACCAGTAGTATTTTTTAAACACCAAGATTATTTAGGTTAATGATATCGGATTATACCCAGACATCCAGATAAATATTATTCTCAAAAATAAGTTATATACTAAAAAACATCAATAAGCTTGATTTTCATAGTTTCATCCACGGATGGATGATCCATCAAGTGTGATCTGTTCTATTAACTGAGGGGAGATAACCTGCTGAATAAATACATGTTACCCTTGTTTGGAGAGAAGAATAATGTTTTTAAAAGTTACGTAATGACATGTTCAAACCATGGATAGGTTTGATGAGTACAGAACGTTTTGCTATGAATGTATGATCATGTCAGCAACCCATAAAGCCAGTCTATCGTGTATGTACCCACAGCTGACTCACTCACTTGAGGAACTTTGTGAGGTAGGCCCTGCTGCACGTGGACCACTGGAAGAGTCCATCTTTCCCCATGAGGGTAGGAGCCATGATAGACCCTGCACTGTGAGTACAGTAGTTCCCCTCGCCATCATGGTACATCCCGAAGCTGCAACACACACAAAACATTTGTCACATCCACATCCACAAACAATATCCTAAGAGTGAGTGAGTGAGTTAAGTTTTACACCGCACTCAGCAATATTCCAGCTATAAGGCGGAGGTCTGTAAATAATCGAAGTCTGGATCAGACAATCCAGTGATCAACAGTATGAGCATCGATCTGTGCAATTGGGAACCGATGACATGTGTCAACCAAGTCAGCGAGCCTGACCACCCGATCCTGTTAGTCGCCTCTTACGACAAGCATAGTCGCGCTTTTGTGGCAAGCATGGGTTGCTGAAGACCTATTCTACCCCGGATCTTCACGGGTCAAATCCATAAGAAAGAAAATAGAAATCTGGATAAAACATGAAGAGTGGCTTGTCCAGTTAAGACTCAGTTACTGTTTGTTTGTTTATTTGTTTGTTGTTCAATGCCACACTCAGCGGTACTCCAGCTATCCAGCTGTAATAATTGAGGCTGGATCAGACAATCCAGTGATCAACAGCATGAGCATCAATCTATACAATTGGGATATGATGACATGTGTCAACCAAGCCAGTGAGCCTCTTACGATAAGCACGGGTTGCTGAAGACAAATTCTAACCCACACCTTCATGGGTACAGTGACATATAGGTATAAAATTTTTGAACATACACCACATGTTGACAAGTCAGTATACAGATGTTTGATAGGCATTTAGAAGTTGGTAGGGTAATACAACACGCTTGATATGGATGTGCAACTTCTATATTATTTACACACGACGTTTCTGGGCTAATACTTCCCTTCATCAGGTGAATGACAGTGAATAGTTACAGAGGTATATATAGTATGTACAGGAAGCCACAGAGTTGTTATTACAACAGATTGGTGAGGGGGATTAAGTTAAATAGGGTATACATACTGTTTGTACAACATGTTTACATAGAGTGAATGACCATAGATGGAAGCCAGTATACAGTGATAGAGATTAGGTGATTGGGATGTACAATAATAGAAATTAGGCGATGGGATGTACAGCATGTTTTGGTAAACACCATTGTTGGAGGGAAATTAGTTAATGCACCAAGTCAGTATAGTCTCTACGTACTTGTGCCCCATTTCGTGTGCGATGGTGAGCGCTGTGGCCAGTCCTGTGTCCTCATTGATGGTACAGCTTCGGATTTGGTTACACATGCCCTCTATGGGAGCAAAACCTGAACACAAGGGGAATAACTCTCAATACTTCCAGTGTACCATTACATATAAACTGTTAGAAATACTGACACAAGCAACTCTTATTTCGACAGAAAGATACAAGTTTGATCATAACTGCTGAGAATAAAGACATTTAAGATCTGGAGTATGTCTAGGCATTAACTGCTGTCTAGCCGATGATGGATGAGTCCTGAACTGTAATAATGTAAACTACAAGGGCAAACATTCTGACAAAAATAATGAAATTTTATGTTGATGACAAAAAGTATGTGTAAAACATTCTGCAGCAGAGTGAGTGAGTTGGGTTTAATGCTGATCACTGGTATAACATCATTCCTGTGAAGTGTGAGCTTACTGTGATGAAATTCCAAATGGATGCAGGTCTTAAACATTTACCACTTCCATGAAACCAATGAGCAAAGGTATGGTGCCAACAAACCCAGAACATAATTTGGGTGAAGTGGGATTTGAACCCACAATCACTGTCTATGGTGTGACCAAGGGGTTCAACACTCGACACACTCACAACTGGGCTACCCTGGACCCTGTTGTTGCTGAAGTGTATGATAGATGTCTATAGGGTGCAAACTTTTGTGATCATACATTGACTTCTGTCAGCATGGTCAACTGGGCTACCTGCTCACACTTCATACTGGTGTTATGATAAGTAGAATGAGTGAGTGAGTTTTATGCCATTTTTAGCAATATTCCAGCAACACCACAGCAGGGGACACCAGAAATGGGCTTCACACATTGTGCCCTAGTCTGTCTCACAGTCCCTGAACCACATTAATTTCCCTACTGCCAAGCCCTCTCTGCAGTGCTAAAGCCCTAAATAAAGCAAGTCTAGATTTCCTCAGGTTCTGAATCTCTGGTCTCCCTAGGGCTCCTTTTCAATTTAAATGGGCTTGTTTGTTACTATCAAAATTATATATATTCAGAGACTAAGCCTTAGTCTAATTGTGCCCATGTGGAGAATTGAACCCGGGTTTTCGCCGTGACATCTGAATGCTTTAACCACAAGGCTACCCCACCGCCCCAGGATAAGTAGAGGCAAGTGTTTGATGGTAAACTGTATCTTGTTTTAATTCAATCAGAACAGGGATAACTGCCTCTGTGCTTTATCAGCTTTCAACAGAGACAATGTACTCTAACCATATCACCTCCCATCAATGTTAACTAAGAAGAACAGTTTCTCAATGTATATGAACAGCAGAGAAACCAGATGGCTTTTAGTAAACAAAACAACCTGGCATTTTGAGTCCTGCAAAGAAGGGCTGCATTACAACACTGAGCTGTACACCAGTGGAAGTATAGCAAAAACATAACCCTTCCTAACTCTGACATTTCATTCATGAAACCTATACAACTCAGTTCTTAGACGCTGGAATGTTTTGGTTCAACTCCAGAATAAAGCTTACACTTCTTTCAATATTGTTTAACTTAGTTTCCATGACAACGCAAGAAATAATTTTTGAATGCCAACAGGAACTATTCACAAACAGAAGTTTTTAGCTCAAAGGGAAATAGGTTCTGGTAACTTGGATGATTCTTGATTCAAGGAATTCAAAACTACTGACAGCTAACTCAAATCTTATGATGCATTACTATGTAACAGCTCTGTTTTCAGAAAGAAATACAGGCATATAGGGCAGAGGTAGTGAATGAGCATAATTAACATATGCTCCCTGAACACAAGAAACAAATGATTGCAGCTGAGAATATTACAGTAAATTTGGCTTATAATGAACTACTGTGTAACAAACTGATGGCATAATGAACAGTTGTCCCAACCACTTGCTGTACATATATTAGTTGAAATACATGTAAAGAACTATGATTTTAACAAAATAAAATTAGTGGTCCTTGAGGTGGTGGTGAGGTGAGGTGAAATTGAGTTTAACGTCGTGCTTCAGAACATTTCGCTCATATGACGACGTGCATGCATGTGTATGTGTGTATGCTTATACTAGCCCAGACTGAAGCTGGTTTTATAGTTCTAGCCCACTGAGATACCATGCTGCAGTGAAGCATGAATACCCCACTCAGACACATTATACTGACTCCGAGCCGACCAGTCCTTGTTGTACCCATTAATGCCGAGCGCCAGGCAGGCACCAACAAGTACCACATTTTAACGTCTTTTGGTATGACGCGGTCGGGATCCAACCCGCGACCTTCCGCTCTCCGGGCGGACGCTCTAACCACTACATCACGGAGGCGGTCAGTCCTTGAGGTCATTATTACCCTAGTGTAGTGCATGTAAGTCATTTATATATTATTGTTTTTAGAGTAAAACTATGAACCAAATTGTTGTTAAAAAAAATTACCGGTACCCAAAAAAATCCCTCAATTAATGAATTTTTTTAAGGAGATGATTTGAATAATATCTAAATTCTGCTTATTGTTGGAAATGTTGAATATTGTGTCAGGTGATAAACTATACTGCTGTTGAAACACTGTAGGAATACGGTCCCTTGTTGAAATATTCTGGTAACATCATGCAGGAATTAGCTCATCCATCGTACGTATGTAGGGATATTAACTTTGATTTTCAGTTTGAGTGAGTGAGTAGGTTTAGTTTTACGCTGCACTCAGCAATATTCCAGCTATATGGTGGCAGTCTGTAAATAATCGAGTCCAGACCAGAAAATCTGGTGATCAACAGCATGAGCATCGATCTACACAATTGGGATACAATGACATGTGTCAACCAAGTCAGCAAGTCTGACCACCTGATCCCATTAGTCGCCTCTTATGACAAGCATGGTTTACTGAAGACCAATTCTAACCAGGACCTTCACTGTTCAATCTTCAGCTTGAGCAACCAACTCTTTAACAAATGGCCTGAAACCATAAATGTTCAAAAAAAGTGCTAAAAGACAGTAATGCAGAACAGAAAATTCATGATTCGTACCAAGTGTATCACAGGGTGCATTCTTATAGGAGCAGAGATCCATTCCAGTGAGGAGTATAGCATGGTCATGCTGGCGACCGTTGGCTCCAACGAGGAACCGGACTGCCAGGTACAGAAGCTGTTGAGTGTTCGATCTGCATGGTGGCTCACAACCAGACCTGGCTACGTAATAACAACACTATGAGGGTTTTTTCAAAACAGAAAATGTTAAAGACAAAATTATTTATGTTAATGTCACACAATCTTGATAACTTTCTTCAGTGTGTATTTGGCAACTCCAGCTATCTCAAAGTTTCCCATGTGTTTTGATAACGTGGAGATAATGTTCCTGGAGTGTCATGAACTGAGATACACACATTACTTCAGGACTGAGTATAACTAGAGTCAATAAAACACTAATGAGACATATGTTCCTGATTACTTAACACATTTTATCATCCAAATCTTGCTTCCACATGGGATATCACTTGAATGAGAACAGTGATGTCTCCTAGGAGACAGTCGATCACAATGCTTTACAGACCATTGTGACATCATCAGTTACTAACATGTCACAATCAACTAACATTACTAATGTCTGGTTAGCTTACTGTTTACACTGAAGACATTACTGTTTACATTGAGATACTACTGTTTACAAACTGAAGAAGTTGGAAGAATGACTTTGGATGATAAATGGAATCTTAACCTCATTCCTTTCGACATCAAACATACCATCACTTGTCAATAAAATTAAGAGAAATTCCACTGAGACTCCCTGTATCTTCACACATGTTTCAAGACAGATAAACTTTAGCAATATGAAAGAATCTTTCTGTTCTTTACGTCTGTGGAGTACAACATACAACATGTGCCATATTTGGGATTACACTCTCTCAGTAAATAGTTTAACATCATGGCGGCTGGCACTTTACAGTACATTTTCATCACATGGATCAGAGTTTTGTCCTTATAGGATTATTTCACAAGATTGCCAAGAGTGAGTGAGTGAGTTAATATTTAATGTCACATCAGCAATATTTCAGCCATATTGTGACGAGAAAATATTTGACATTGAAATTGAATATGTGTATATTACGAAAATCTGTCATCAAAGGACAGAAAAACAACTAGAATGTCACAATTAGAATTAAAACTAGTGATGAAAGTTAAACCTAAGAGCACTATTTGGACAATACAATATAAAAACAGGCTATAGATCACCAACAACTGAAGGTAGATCACCATACTAGGGACCATGGGGACTTACAGTAATTTTGCTACCTGCATGGGCCCTAGTTGGATTTACACCATCCCTTCAGCCGCTGTAGGACAAGTTTAGCCAACAGTATAAAATAACAGCATTACTGCGTTTAAAAATCTGGTAAGTTTAAATTTAACTTTGAAAGTTTTTTGACTTAAGATTGCCAAGAACAAAGACTCTATCATATAACAATGTCCTAACTGCTTGACCCCCTTGTATTACCAGTAACAAGGCTTGACACGGTGTAGACTGGGAAACACTAAGTCAAGCTTTAAACAACAAAGTCTATCAGTGCCTTGTCAAGTGATGCCCAGCCAAAATGTGTCACCTTACCAATACAGTTTATGCTTATAATACTTGGATGATTTCCGGCATACAACAGGTCATGAACACTACAAAACCTTTCAGAACATCCCATTGTGCAGTCAATAACAGGAATAATCACAACTTGTATGTCAGCTTACCTCTTCCAGTAGAATGAGACCAAGAGACATATCAGCTTACACAACTCATTTTAGCTTACCCCACCTCTTTAAAAGAATGGGTCCAGCCTCCATGTAAACTTACACCACCCCTCCAGCAGAATGAGACACCTACCCATGTCAGCCCACCTCACCCCTCCAGAGGAATGGTCCCAACCCGCATGTCAGCTTACCTCATCCCCCTCCAGGAGAATAAGACCAACCAGGACTATATTGATGATGCTCCCGAGGCTCTGGTCCTCAAACAGCTTGGATACCTGTAATGAATCAAACATGTTGAAAAATATTTGCAGATGAAATAGCTCCAACTAACATATAGACTCTGCTGATTTGACATTTTCTCAGTAAACTTTAAATGAATTCTATAAACTCCTCAAATAGTCTCCTCAAATATTATTTCCATGTCATTATACCACATGATTTCTAAAAATTGTTATAATGTACATCATATATGTGTGAAATGTATCTATATTTCTTGTACCTGCTGAGTTTATATATGTAGTATATATAATATTGCCACTGTTTCTTCATGGAATGCTGTGCAATAAATATCTTATCTTATCTTATCATGAACCAGTGAAATTTATGCAAATTCAAGTCTTTTGATGCTAAAGACCAGAGTTAGATTCCCCACATGGGTACAATGTGTAAAGCCCATTTCTGGTATCCTGTGCCGTGATATTGCTAAAAGCGGAAGAAAACTAAACTCAATCACTCATTCAAGTCTTTTGCCTCTAAGGGTGATAATTTGTCCACATATATGCCAATTTTCACTAAAAATACTTTGTTTAAACTTAAGGTGCATTTTTATTGTTTCATGGTTTGACCATCTGGACATACAACACGCTGACCAAGATACACATGGACATTCACCATTGACCATATGCCACTGACTCAATGTACCACCATGTAAGTAAACATACATCATTGTAAACTGTTAAACGGTAGCACTCATCTGAATTCCATCACAGAAACTGTGTCATTTCCCTCCCTTTCATCCCCACCCTACTCCAGGCGGTGTTAGTAAATAGCAAATAATCTGACAACTACATAAATGACTTAACTATATCATGACAACCTGCCTTGAAAGAAAGTATTTCCTCTTTTGACAAACACAGACTGTATCCCGAGCTATTCACCTAAAGGAAAGGTGTGGCCTTACAACATGTCTTCAGTACAAGTGGCATGCCCTTTCAGTACTGGTCATATCACACAGTCCTGTATTGACCAAGTTCCTTGCTAATTATCAGCTTCCTTCTTGTTGAAATAACGCAAAGAATGTCCGTTAGCTTGACCAAAAGTGGTTTCTGACTTGATACCAAGTAAAAAGCCCAGCATATACACAAAATTAATATATTGGCTAGATTCAGTATACATTACAATACACTCAGAATAGGTCTAGAAGAGAATCATAACATATTACCAACAGTTATCCAGAAATAATATCCACAATTTAAAATAAATTAAAAATACTTTTCATGTATATACATGTCAAAATTTTGGCTTAATTCTCACACTGTTTCCATTCAATTAGATCTGTTGTAAAGTGAAAGTGTTAGAATGAACCTCCTTTGTATGCATACAATGTCTAACTTTTCATTCTCGAGTTGTTCGGAGAGCGCTACTCAGCAGTACTTTTGAACTGGAACTGGCGCTATATAAATGTTTTATGATGATGATGATGATGATGATGTATGATGTATCGTGAATGTATCTATATTTACTGTGTGTACATATCTTGTACTTTGTAGAATATTGCCATGTTTTCTTCACGTTATTCAATACCTGTTTTATGTCCACAATTCAAACTAAATATGTCCAGAACTGTCAGTATATATAAAAGCTTATATGCCCAGATGACTGATTAAGGCACATATTTTTTTCTTTGATAACATCTTTCATATTTAAAATTATTATCTTGCTGTCTTGATTTTAAGACTTACCATATTAAACATGATATACTCATTAAAAAAAGTACGGGAAGCTGAACTTTCAATTTGGATAGGGGGTATAAGCATTAGCAAACTTTTCAAAGACAGACATCAATGCTCCACCATTTATCTTTATCACCACCTCTAGACACAACGCATGGGATGCACGTGCACAACGCAGTAGCCCCATACACATGCATGGGGTGTTATTCTTGATTTTGACGGTTTTCAAGGTCGACTAAATCACTGTAGACCAGTACTTATGACAATCATCTAGCATCACACAGTTGTTAGTGTTTGCTTCTAGCCGTTATTGTTGTTGTCTTTTTAAAATGAAAATCGTACACATGCAAATTTCACGTCATAAACCAATGATCTTTCAAGAACGATTCCTGTACAAACAACTACAGTCATAAGGAAGTGCAAGTGGTGATGCACTCTCCAAGCATTCATTATTTTCATATCAACATTGGTTGACTCTGATATATCTCCCAAAATTTTTCAATCGTAAATTAAAAATGAAGTTCTCCTACTTTTTTAAAGAGTATATTAGAACTTACCATATTAAACAGGGTGAGTGTGTATGTTGTTATATTCTTGTCGCCATGGTTATGGTACATTGTTTTATCCACCACAACCAGCATCTCCACTGTTCGTTCCGTGACTGCCTGGGTCTGTGGCCATTGCTTCCTACTGGCACGGCGCCATCGCCATTGTCCATAACTGTCATCCTGGAATGCTTGGGTAAATGCTACCTCAAAAGAGAAACAAATAAACTCAAATAAGTAAGTGTACAAGACAAACTGTGCTGCTGTTTTGACCGCCTCCGTGGTGTAGGGTTAGAGCGTCCGCCCGGAGCGCGGAAGGTCGCGGGTTCAATCCCCGACTGCGTCATACCAAAAGACGTTAAAATATGGTACTTGTTGGTCCCTGTCTGGCTCTCGGCATTAATGGGTACAACAAGGACTGGTCGGCTCGGAGTCAGTATAATGTGTCTGAGTGGGGTATTCATGCTTCACTGCGGCATGGTATCTCAGTGGGCTAGCACTATAAAAAAAACCAGCTTAAGTCTGGGCTAGTACAAGCAGCCGCACATACACATACACACGCATGTACGTCATCATATGAGCGAAATATTCTCGAGCATGACGTTAAACCCAATTTCACCTCACCTCACCTGCTGCTGTTTTGAGTGGTCTTGGTGTTTAAAGTTCTATTCTTGTCATGATGGTGGTGGTCTTTGTGGGAGTGTTTAGGATTGTGTCATTTTCGTGATGGTGGTGGTGGTCTTTGTGGGACTGTTTAGGATTGTGTCATTGTCGTGATGGTGGTGGTGGTCTTTGTGGCAGTGTTTAGGATTGTGTTCATTGATGGTGTTGGTGTTTGTAGACAACTGTTTAGGATTGTATTCTTGTCATGATGATGTTTGTGGAAATGTTTGAGATTGCGTTTAATTTGTGATGGAGGTGGCGTTTGCAAAGGTGTTTGTGTGGTGGAGGTATCTTGGATGGATGAACTTCATTGAGGAAAGAAGCGATGGATTAGGTAAGAGTAGAGCTAGTGATGATGGTCACATTGCTGAATGAGAAGGGGATTACTATGATTCACTCTGCCTTGAATAACTGGATGTATTGGTTTACTCTGAGACATTCACTGTTCTTCTTGTGCTGAACAGTAAGTACTTGATGACAGTGGCTGATGACTGGGACAAGCTGGCCAAACATCACCAGATGGGGACCATCAGCTTCTGGGATGAATTCCTAAAGACCTGGCCTGACCTGACAAAGCTAATCTCCAACACCCGCTAATTGTTCTACTTTCCTTCATCACCACAACTGTGGAGGATGAAAACCATAGCAAGTATGGCACCTGCCATATCACAATTTCTCTTTCAACTCACAGCAGCCTGGGTGGCAGGCAGATCAAGCTGTCTCCTGACTGCCCAATCTACCTTGTTAGTTTGTAATTATATGTTTGTTTTCCTGAACCTACTGAACTTGGTAGAAAATACCAGGCCAGATGTACCATATCAAAATATTTGATATTGCCAGTGGAACACTAAAGTCACTTAATGGAACCTGCCAAGCAAAGTGTTATGGCGAAGAGGAAACTAAATATTTGTTGTTTTCGTGTAAACACTGCTTCTCGGTATCCTTTCTGGATGATAATGTTTCCAAACCAAAACAGGGAGAAAAGAACTTCACACTGACTGTTTGAAAAAAATGTGCTGATTCCCATCTGAAGTAATATAAATATTGCATGGACCTGTATAAATTACATGAAAAAGAAGCAAGCTTTAGATAAAGCTTGACCACAAGGGATTATTTTCAAGTCACGCTTGTTCTCGAGAGAGATTGGAGGCTAATAACTAGATTCATTCTTGTCCTATGGAGAGAAGGAAGGCTACAGACTAATTTCACGCTTGTCCTACAATGAGATAGGAGGCTACAGACTAGGTTCATGACTGTCCTACAGAGAGAAGGAAGGCTACAGACTAGGTTCATGACTGTCCTACAGAGAGAAGGAAGGCTACAGACTAAGTTCATGATTGTCCTACAGAGAGAAGGAAGGCTACAGACTAAGTTCATGACTGTCCTACAGAGAGAAGGAAGGCTACAGACTAGGTTCATGACTGTCCTGTACACTGACTAAGTTCATGATTGTCCTACAGAGAAGGAGGCTACAGACTAGGTTCATGATTGTCCTACAGAGAGAAGGAAGGCTACAGACTAGGTTCATGATTGTCCTACAGAGAGAAGGAAGGCTACAGACTAAGTTCATGATTGTCCTACAGAGAGAAGGAAGGCTACAGACTAGGTTCATGACTGTCCTACAGAGAGAAGGAAGGCTACAGACTAGGTTCATGACTGTCCTACAGAGAGAAGGAAGGCTACAGACTAGGTTCATGATTGTCCTACAGAGAGAAGGAAGGCTACAGACTAGGTTCATGATTGTCCTACAGAGAGAAGGAAGGCTACAGACTAGGTTCATGACTGTCCTAGAGAGAAGGAAGGCTACAGACTAAGTTAATGACTGTCCTACAGAGAGAAGGAAGGCTTCAGACTAAGTTAATGACTGTCCTACAGAGAGAAGGAAGGCTACAGACTAGGTTCATGATTGTCCTACAGAGAGAAGGAAGGCTACACTGACTAAGTTAATGATTGTCCTACAGAGAGAAGGAAGGCTACAGACTAGGTTCATGACTGTCCTACAGAGAGAAGGAAGGCTACAGACTAAGTTCATGACTGTCCTACAGAGAGAAGGAAGGCTACAGACTAAGTTAATGACTGTCCTACAGAGAGAAGGAAGGCTACAGACTAGGTTCATGATTGTCCTACAGAGAGAAGGAAGGTTACAGACTAGGTTCATGACTGTCCTACAGAGAGAAGGAAGGCTACAGACTAAGTTCATGATTGTCCTACAGAGAGAAGGAAGGCTACAGACTAAGTTCATGACTGTCCTACAGAGAGAAGGAAGGCTACAGACTAGGTTCATGACTGTCCTACAGAGAGAAGGAAGGCTACAGACTAAGTTCATGACTGTCCTACAGAGAGAAGGAAGGCTACAGACTAGGTTCATGACTGTCCTACAGAGAGAAGGAAGGCTACAGACTAAGTTCATGACTGTCCTACAGAGAGAAGGAAGGCTACAGACTAGGTTCATGACTGTCCTACAGAGAGAAGGAAGGCTACAGACTAGGTTCATGACTGTCCTACAGAGAGAAGGAAGGCTACAGACTAAGTTCATGACTGTCCTACAGAGAGAAGGAAGGCTACACTGACTAAGTTAATGATTGTCCATCAAAAAGAAGGAAGGTGACAGACTAGGTTCATGCTTGTCCTACAGAGAGATGGGATGATGTCCTATATAGTGGGCCAACTGATGTGTGACAAGGAATTTGGATGATTGGAGATTGATGTTCATACTACAAGCTACTGAATTTTTCTGTCAGTACTAATTCAATTGCATCCAGACTATAGGATATAATTAGGCCAGCAACCCTTTTTCCACATCAGTATCAAAATTCCTTTTTAATATGTAAACACTGAAATTCACAGTTTTGTGAAAAAACTCACTCACTCACTCATTCACTCACTCTTTCGGCATGATGCAGTGGCAGATCAAATCCCAGACCCTCAGTTCTCCAGGCAGATCCTCTGTCCACTAGACCAAGGAGGTGACCAACAGCATCATAAAATAACTCTCATTCACTCCCAAACCCATCCATGTTGTTTGCTTGTTTTTCAAAAGGGCACTTACCCACAATGTACACAGAAGACATTGTTATAAGACCCTAATGCCCATTTGTTCATGCCAGAAATAAAACAATCGAATTAAACAAAGAAAAAATCAACATACACTTTTTAAACAACCTGTATTTTCAGTTATATTAAATTTCATATTTTGCCCTGTGGAGAGCCTTTCTTCATGCTAGTGCAAAAAGATCAATCCACCATTTTCCATTTACACAGCTGTATATGAAATAGGACAAATTCTTACAGATGGTTCTGGTCTCAAAAACAAAAGGAATTCCTTGACACCTTTTGTCAAAATAATTAAGATAATTTCACCTCTAAGTGTGAAAAATATACTATAGACTGTGAAGTGAAGTTATTGAATGCATTCTTACCAGAGGATTTTGGGGATTCAAACATCCGTTGATGACTTGTCAATATTGACAGTTTGTGGGGCTTGCCAATTGTATTGTCAAGGTCAAGGTCAAGAACAATGTGATGCTCGAGAGGTTCGATGATATAGTCTTCTTCAGCTGTGCGTATAATTCCTGTCTGCAAAGAAAAAATAACTTCTGAACATTGTCCTTAAAGACATCGAAAAACACGATATTCATAAGAATATGGACACTATCGCCTAATTATATAGCCTTTGATCAGGTCAAACTGAATGGTGTTGTAGACAGACAGACAGACAGACAGACAGACAGACAGACAGACAGACATTCCACCTAATCTATAGTCCGTTTGGCTCAAAAGTGGACCTTGTCCTCTCTTTGCACTCCTCCCTCGTAACTAATAGTGAACCGTATCAAAATTTTAATGATAGTCTGCAAAAAACTCACTGAGTTGGTCTGATGCGTTGATTATGATCAGCGTTTCATATGTGTACTAGCTTTTCAGTTAGATTACAATTCATCAGTCCACTTTTGAGCCAAACGGACTATAGGCCTGGGGCTCCTTTCACAAAGCACTAAGGTGATCGTAAGTCACTAAGGTAACCTTAGTGCAATGTTAAAGAATGGGAGTTAAGGTTAACCTCAGTAAAGGGTGCTTCGTGAAAGGAGCCCCTGAGCAATAATCATGACCTTGTTTCTCCACAGACAACAATTAAACCAGCTTCTGTGAGACAACTTTGCTCCAATATCATATAGAGGAGTGTCCTATCCCACAGTGTCTGATCTTTGCACTCAGAAGGTTGTGAGCCTAGCTTAAAGTATGGGAGGAATGACCACCTTTGTCTAAAGATCTCTTTATTGAACAGGGGCAGTGGGGTAGCCTAATGGTTAAAGCGTCTGCTCGTCACACTAAAGACCAGGTTTCCATTCCCCACATGGGTACAACGTCTAAAACTCATTTCTGGTGTTCCCCGCCATGATATTGCTGAAATATTAACAAAGGGGCATAATACCCAACTCACTCACTCACTCTTTATGGAACAGAGCTTGGGATTGTGAGAATGGACTTCACAATAGAAATCAAACTCAGGCCCCGTGTGGGATGACAGTGAAAACACAAGCCACACACCTGCCCCATAATATATAACTGATATATGCTTCACTGTCTCAAAGATGAATGAAGTGCCGTAATATATTTGAAAAATCGGTGGTATTTCTGTGAGATAGAAATCAAACTAGGCATGATAATTAGTTGCCTCCATGTTAAGAGTTCAGACTCAACATGGAAACAGCAAATGAGGTAACCGACATGTGGTATATTTGATTTCAGATATGGAGAATACCACCCACGGTCTGAGGATACCTTGCTTAATCCCCACTGGCAATAATGGTTTTCAGTTTTAGCGTCACTTTTTTGACATAACCACTCAGCATACACACTCCTCGTGCTATAACAAAGAGTCTAGACTACATGGAATGCTCTTGCAACACAAAGCTTTTCAACTGATGATGACGATGACATTTATATCTGTGAGGGCATACTAGAGCCGTTACCCAACTAATTTCAACCTGCTGTTGACTTTGATAAATCACGCAAGCACTTATATCATCATAAAATTCTGTGATGGAGAGCCCTAGCTGGGATTGAGCTACCTACTCGGCTACCCGAGGTCGTGTCACTGTTAGATCTTACTGCCCCGTCATCGGCAGACACATTGTGTAAAATTGCAATCAACTTATTGTGACTGTTTTACAATAGCATAAAGTTTCAACAATGTGTGACTAGACCAGATCAGTCATCAGCTTAGGGAATTATAAGACATTCTCCCCAAACCCATTGTATTCCTGAATTGTTGCATGGTAACCTTATCATTACTGATGATTTGTCTGGCATATGATGATACGAGCCTGTCGTTATCAAAGTGTTTAACAATACCAACAAATACAGTAGTGTGTATCAGAGTAGAAATGTCATAACTCCTACCTACGTGTTATACAACTGACTGCCATACAGAAACTGTAGCATTATGTCATGAGTGCAAGTGTTCATACACAAGTTATTATGAGTGAGTGAGTGGGCTGGTTTTAACACCAATTTGGACAAACTTTCAGTTATGTTAGTTTTGTGTTCTAAAGCTAGGTTCATCCCCAGTCCAGGGGTGAAATACTCTGATTGAGATTTAGGTTCATCCCTGACAGTGTGTGGGATGTATACCCTGTTCCAGAGCGAGGTTCATTATAGACAAGGTGTGAGATACCCTAATCTAGATCTAGGTTCTTCTCAGACAAGGTGTGAGATACCCACATTTAGAGAACAGTTAATCCAAGACAAGGTGTGATATACCCTGATCTAGAGCAATGTTGATCCTAGACAAGGCGTGAGATATCCTAATTTAGATCTAGGTTCATCCTAGACAAGGCGTGATATACCCTAATTTAGATCTAGGTTCATCCTAGACAAGGTGTGAGATACACTAATTTAGATCTAGGTTCATCCTAGAAAAGGTGTGAGATATCCTAATTTAGATCTAGGTTCATCCTAGACAAGGCGTGAGATACCCTAATTTAGATCTAGGTTCATCCTAGAAAAGGAGTGAGATATGCTAATTTAGATCTAGGTTCATCCTAGACAATGCGTGAGATACCCTAATTTAGATCTAGGTTCATCCTAGACAAGGCGTGAGATACCCTAATTTAGATCTAGGTTCATCCTAGACAATGCGTGAGATATCCTAATTTAGATCTAGGTTCATCCTAGACAATGCGTGAGATACCCTAATTTAGATCTAGGTTCATCCTAGAAAAGGCGTGAGATATGCTAATTTAGATCTAGGTTCATCCTGTGACAAGGCTTGAGATACCCTAATTTAGATCTAGGTTCATCCTAGACAAGGCGTGAGATACCCTAATTTAGATAATCCTAGATATAGGTTCATCCTAGGTTCATCCTAGACAATGCGTGAGATATCCTAATCTTGATCTAGGTTCATCCTAGACAAGGCATGAGATATCCTAATCTTGATCTAGGTTCATCCTAGACAAATACCCCAATTTTAGATCTAAGGTTCATCCTAGATGAGATATACCCTAGATACGCTAATTTAGATCTAGGTTCATCCTAGAAAAGGTGTGAGATATCCTAATCTTGATCTAGGTTCATCCTAGACAAGGCGTGAGATACCCTAATTTAGATCTAGGTTCATCCTAGACAAGGTGTGAGATATCCTAATCTTGATCTAGGTTCATCCTAGACAAGGTTTGATGCCCTGATCCAGAGCTAGGTTTATCCACCAGTCCTGATGTGAAACACCTTCTAGAGCTAGGCTTATCCCCAGTGCATCAGTGAGATACATTATATAATATCATGTATAAGAGCTAGTTTCATCTCAGACAAGGTGTAAGATACCGTGTTTTCTCGAGCTTGGTTCATCTCAGACTAGGTGTGAGGCACCTACATTTAGAAGAAGGTCAATCCTACACAAGGTGTGAGATACCCTGATCTAGAGTAAGGTTCACCTTAGACAGAGCGTGAAATACCTTGTTTTAGAGCTAGGTTCATTTCAGAAATGGTCTGAAATACCTTGTTTTGAGCTAGGTTCATTTCAGAAATGGTCTGAAATACCTTGTTTTAGAGCTAGGTTCATTTAAAAAATGGTCTGAAATAGCTTGTTTTAGAGCTAGGTTCATCTTAGACAAGGTGTTTTTGAAGACCCTATTTTAGAGCTAAGGGTGTGAGATATGCTGCTCTAGACAAGGTGTTAGATACTAGGCTCTAGCTAGGGTGTGAGATACTCATTGTATCCTAGAGTGAGATACCATGTTCTACAGTTTGGCTCATCCTAGACAAGGTGTGAGATACCATGTTCTACAGTTTGGCTCATCCTAGACAAGGTGTGAGATACCATGTTCTACAGTTTGGCTCATCCTAGACAAGGTGTGAGATACCATGTTCTACAGTTTGGCTCATCCTAGACAAGGCATGTGAGATACCATGTTCTACAGTTTGGCTCATCCTAGACAAGGTGTGAGATACCATGTTCTACAGTTTGGCTCATCCTACCCATGTTCTACAGTTTGGCTCATCCTAGACAAGGTGTGAGATACCATGTTCTACAGTTTGGCTCATCCTAGACAAGGTGTTAGATACCATGTTCTACAGTTTGGCTCATCCTAGACAAGGTGTTAGATACCATGTTCTACAGTTTGGCTCATCCTAGACAAGGTGTTAGATACCATGTTCTACAGTTTGGCTCATCCTAGACAAGGTGTTACATACAATGTTCTCAGTCAAGGATCATCCTGGTCCTGGTGTGAGAGATCCTGTTCCAGAGTTCATCCCGGTGCATGTGTGAAGGTTGTTACACACGACTGCAGTCAGCAATATTCCAGCAGTATCACACCAGCAGGTGTCAGATGTTCACAGACTGTAACAGGTTGGACAAAGTGGTTGAGGAGTCAGTATCCACCTCTACACCCCGTCTGACATTCACCCATCTCACTGCCGACATCTGATAGCCGACTGTAACACCACGGAGACCGTGTGGAGATGGCTGTATCCTGACTCTGACAGAATCAGAGTAAGGTTGGTGTCATCATCGCTGCATTTCCAGCTGTGAGACAAGATGGATGATCAGTGCCAGTTATCACTAGATACAGCCTTCCACAGAGCAAGTGAGTCCTGTCCCATCACCTTCATAATCTACCCTACAGTAGTCACTGGAACACAGCCAAACTAATAGGAGGGCATCTTCTCACAGAAAAATATATCAAACCTCCTGAATGACGACCATTCTGGGCTAATTCTTTACAGGGATAATATGTTATTTGTGCCATACTGTATTTAGAGGGAATGCTTGTCATAAAAAATACTAATTGTATCAGTTCCACTAACAAATTTCTTATGATGAGCTAGTTCAAATTCAAAGGACACATACAGACTACAAATAGATACTGACTATCTGACTTTTAACATATGTTAGGTTTGGGACTACTCTTTTCAGTAATGTACTGGCTGTAGTACTTTTTGGGATTCAGTCACATCTGGGATTTGAACTCCACTCTCAGGGTGAGACACCTAATGGCCAGGGCCCTTATTCAGTCAGACCTAAGAATCTGGGATTTTGATGCAGTCCAATGTGTTAGAATGGGCTTAAGAGG